AGTGTTTCTGCATACCAGGTGGATATTTGGATTTGTTAGTCCGTTTTAAACTGATATTTCACTCCCCTAAAATCTGGAACTTAATCCTTTTACCTAGATAAACCCTAAACTCCCTATGACCTAGGTTCTATTTTATCCCTCCGGTTGGGTTGTGTTTGTTTTGGTCTGTATATGGATTCATTTATTCTTCTCCTTTACGTGACTTCTAAATTATCACTCGGCAGTCTTCAGACTCGAGATTATGCTCTCTGGCATTTTTTTATTTGCCGATTTATCAGAACTTATCCCAATCTCAGGCGTTCATTTGCATCAAAGTGTCTATACTAAAGGCTTTTAGTTTATAAGTAGAGTTTTGAGACAACCAATACATCATTGTTAGGGGGACTTTCATTTCGTATGAAAGTGAATGAAAAAGAGATTATGGTCGATCTCACCAGATGAGGACGGATGAATCACGTACTGCAGCCGTTTGACTTTTATACGATATTCATGTTGGCACAGTACACAAACTCATATCTCATTATCTCAATCATACTTGTTTACGGACCTACGCAGTCTCGGTCAAGGCTTTCTCTTGAGTCATTAGGTCTTGAGGATCAGAACCTGACAACTCTGATTTAGAAACCTTATTGCATACAGACTTTAACACGCACACATACACAAATGCATACACACGAGCAAAAGTACCAGTATCAGTATGTAAGATAAATAACCAAACCAGTCTATAACGAGCTTTCTAGGTTTTTAATTTTCTTTTGGCCTAATTGAGTCGATATAATAAGTAAAATAGAACCGGATAGTGTTCTTGGCCTAGTGTTAACATGAGACTTTTACAAGAATGACACCCAGCTTTGATGATGTCCATCATATGATGGACGACAGCTCAGCACGTTTTTACCCGAAACAAGGGAGGAAGTCTCGTGGACTGCATCAACATGAATATGGTATAAAAGCTAAACGGCTGCAGTAAAACGAGTTTCATCCGTCCTCAGCTGGTGAGATCGACCAACGAATCTCTTCTTCATGCACTTTCATACGAAATGAAAGTCTCCCTAACAATGTTATCTCGAGATTAATTGAAAACCAGTTTCTCTTCATAACCAATACATCAGTTATATGAGGTATTCACCCTATTTAGTTTAAGCTGGTGAAGGACTGGTAGTTGAATTTTTCCACAATGATATGAGTTGAGCTGACGTTTCCTTCTTTGAAACTTACATCTTCCATGCGATTCAAGCGAAATCGTGGCGTAGTGGTTAACCTGTCGAGATTACGCGTTGCGCTGCCATTGTTCGAGTCCCGCTTAGACGAGGTCGGAACTGCATTCCACCCTATGTGGGAACACTTTTTGGGAATGCAAGGCTGCGTGAAATTAAATGGAAACGTCAGCTCTATTTATATCATTGTTGGAAAATTCAATCACCAGTCCTTCATCCCCATAAACTAAATAGAGTGAATACATCTCATATAGGGGTTTATCTTCTGAACGCTTGTGAGTTGGTAATGTTGATACAAATTCATAATGCACTAATTTCAAAATGTTACTACATACAAAATGAGTAGCGTAACATTTTTAAATTTAAAACATTCAAGCGTAGCTAGGACTTAGGTTTGGTCGTAGTCTCGTTTGGCTGTATAGTGTTTGTTTGACCTTGTTTTCACAACTTGAATACAGCGACAGGGTTACTTTGTGGAAAGTAGCCAGTCCTGGGTCCTTTGCCATAGTATTAATGAACATTTCCAGCATCGGATTCTTGACTTGGTACATGCCCAGACATTTTGTCGTCATTGTCAGCGAGAGGTGCCAATCTTAGCACGGAATCACAATTGATCAAAGTCACTATGCAACTATATGCTAAGGATGGCGCCTTTCATTGACGATGCCAACTAAGATGGATTAAGTATGTTCCATTAAGTCTCCCTGTCGCGAAAACGAGTTCAGACCAGCATCAAAACATTTTAGCTCTATCGAAACCCTACACAAAATAGTTATTATTAGGAGGCGACACGGATAATACAATATATAGGGGAATTATATTGTTGAACTGAATTAACCATATGAGGATGGCTTTAATTAACCTGCTGTGAAAAGGATAATGGAGTCAGTGAATTAATTATTAACTTGAGAAGCTAAGGATGCATTTGTTCGCAAAAATAACTATTATTATAGACATTCTGGAACGACTAAACACCTGAGGCAGAGCTAGGTTTGGATTAGGTTATACTTAAAATAAAACCCGAGAACAGAATTCCTGATGAGGCCTGTATGGTGAGTTTAGAGGGAGTGAACCAGGTTTAAGGGAAGATGAAAATGAAATAAAAAAACGAGAGGAATAGAAAATATCACCTATAATGGATGAAGGCTAGCACTGAATAATATGGGAGCATGCCCCTTAAAATGTACGACTCCGCTTTTGGAATACATTAGAGACAAGTAAATCGGAACTCACATTATCAAATGAAATGAATTCAATGACTTTCAGTCAAAATGTAGTTTCTGGATCGACTCATTTGGAATTAAGTTAAGTTTAATCATCCAATGAGTTTAAAGTTCGACACCTCATATTAAGCGAATTCAGGGTGGTACATCGTCCTTTAGGATTCAAACTGAAACTAAGATAAGAGGTGATATGAAGACGAAGAGGTAGTGGTCTGTGTTTTGGCCACCGTCTCCTTTCCCTGCGTGGGACTGGTTCGACCTCGTATTCGCATTTTGGTCATGTTGTCAGGGGGACCCAGTTGAACACATCTTGTCTGGAGTCCTCTGCTATAGTTGCTATGATAATCCCCAGCGTTGTACCGCAGACTTGGTACCAAGTCCACGAAAAGTATTTGGCTAAAGTGCCAATTCAATTAGGCAGTTTCGAAAAAAATTAGTTTGACAATGATAAGGCTCAAGCCAATGCTTAATTTTTGATTCACCGGGAATTACAATTGGTTTAATATGAAATTATCAGATATAATTTTATAAAAAAAGTATATTTATAATTTTTGAAGCTTTACATTTTTGTGGAGGATTCAAATTCGACTAATCATAGAAATAGCAAGCAATTCAATAGACAAGTATTATTTGATATGGTCGCATACACAGTCCCACGAAGTGAGTGTAAACTTTATGCAGATCGGCGAAGCTTAAATGAAAACTTGGGCTGATAAGACTGATGGGTAAATAATCCACAAGGCCCCATGATTCAGTTAAATTTAATTTAGCCCTGGTGGTCAAAAGGGATTCTCAACAAAAGCAAAATGCAATTTTTCCCATTACTGGTTCCAATTAGCACGCAGAAAGATAAATGAAATAGGATCAACTGGCAACCTTTAATTACTTCATTTCACTTAGTTTCAGTTGTTCACTGAGGCGATGCAACTTTTAGAGCAAGCCAGACCTCTTAGAATTCATATTTAAAGGGATTTTTTAATATGGCAAATTCTCGTTTGAAGTAAAAAAGATAAAACTAATCCCTTAATAATTTAGCATGACTCGACAGGTCATTTCATCTGGCCACCTTTTCTCTGGATTTACTAATTCAGTGCACTATTTTTGTAAAGTTTTGTTCTTCGCTTTGACGATGTCTGCCAGGGCCGGACCGATGACAGCTCAACACGGATTCATTGGAGTTACGGAAAGCAAGCCGAGGACATATTTCCCCAATTCACTATTATTTCAACTTACGGTGAAGCCGATTCATGAACTCCTTTCAACCAAATTTTCATTCAAAATGAAAATTCGATTCACACTAAAGTAGAATTTCTTACATAAACATACACTAGGCCAAGTTGACTCCACCACTTAAGCACAGTGGAGCTTGCCAAGACTGTCACTTATGGATACCAGCCAACTTATGAAAGTGTATAATAGCAAAGAAGTAATAACAAAGGCCTATGATTCCGTTCAATTCTTTACCTTCGAGGAACATTTTACTAGCCCTGTGAAGCAAACATAGCAAAACATGAAAAAAGAGATAATTTAAAGTAGTTAAAGTAGTCGGAATATTGCCAAAATTATTCAGCATTAACGATGAAATTAGGTCACTTTCCTCACAATAAACCAGCTCACCCGAGGGTTCACTAAGGTTCGCAGATCCACCATTTCGGTGTTGAGTTGTGGGAAAGATGTCGGCATAAGTCAACCGGTCGCAAGTTCCATAATCGCTGCACTCCGATCGACCGCGCAATGAGACGGCATCCAAGCCACCAGAAACTCCAGCCCCGGCTTCTATTTCAACACTCGACCTGGAAGGTTCGTGACCTGTGCCGGCCCAGCTTTCACGCGAGTGTGAGCTCGAGTTGTCTAAAGTTCCCTCTCGTCCTCCTGTGAGGCTTAGATACCTTGGCTCAACCTTCGTACCGGCCGGCAAGGTCTCCATCTGATAGTCTCCAGCATAGTCCAGCTGACGTTGGCTCCTGCACTCCGGACGTCCGGCTGAAAGACGCATCGCAAAGGCATTGAGAGGATCAAAATTAACGCAGCCCGGCTTTAGGGAGTAGTGACGATGCCGACGGATGACTGTCTGAACAGGATAGTGGGCCACACAACCCTGACAGACTGGACTCGATCTAAAGTCCTCCTTATCCACCTTGACGTCCTTGCCGTGCGAGGCCGTGGGGGTCTCAATGGAGCAAAACGAAGCTGGTGTGTAGGCCCGGTGAAGAGTGAGTCGAGGCAGTACAGAGGCGTCAGGGCCGTCTCTAACAGCGGAAGCCTGTGTGATTAAGAAAAGTACGTTTTATCAGTAGACATATAACTTAATTTAGTAAAGACATGAAGACCAAGATGGTGTGGTCTCCGGTATGGTCGCATTCTCAGACGTCTCGCCAGCACGGTCTGATGCTGGGAATTACGATAACTACCATAAAAACGGACTTCGGACAAGGTGCATTCTATTAAGTCGCCCTGACAACAAGACCAAGTTGCGAGAACGAGGTCAACCCACTTCTTAATTTATTAAAGATATGGAGACCAAGATGCTATGTCCTTTATTTTGGTCGGTCTTCTCTCGCTGCATGGGAAAATATATGGTGTGATAGCCCAATCTTTACATTTTTGTACAGGATTGACTTCACTTGTCCCTTTGACGAGTTATAGATGGCTGATAGTGGCAAGACTCACTGACGAGGCCGGCTATGATGCCGGAAAAACGTATTGGAAAGCACCAAGTCCACGGTCCGATGCTGTGAATTATCATAACCACTTCAGCAGTGGTTTTCTGACAAGCTACATCCAATTAGGTCGCCATGACAACGCGATCAAATTGCGAAAACGAGGTCTAACCACCTTACTTTATTACAGAAGTTGCTTGACCTTGTTTTCGCAACTTGGTCATGTTGGTAGGAAGATTTAGAGAAACGCACCTTGTCCGGAGTCCATTGTATGCATAATCATTTCCACTAAACACATGTTTGCCATTGCAATCGACGACATTATTCAAGTTCGACGCGAGTAGTTTTCAAGACTAGCATAAATTCATACTCATCAAATTGTAGGAAAGACTCAACCATCAGTCCTTAAATCCCCATAAGAGACCGAGTGTGACTAAGCTTTAATTCAGGAAACAAAATCGCAATTCGCCAATATGCCAAGTGAAGCCGATTTCATCTGGAAGCTTTACATCTTCCGATCGTAGCACACTCCTCCGCCATTGTCATGCCTCCTTCCCTCTCCGCTGAACATGTACCGTCGAGTCTTACTGCTGAGCTTTATGCGGCCAGGACGCATCTCTGTTTCAGGATTCACATGCCTATTGTGCTGACATAATCGAGCTGCGCTTTCCTTTAAGTGGGTTTTTTGAAGAATTCTTCCAATTCCCAGACATTCTTTGATAAGTTTATAACTTATGCTCCCTCACGTATTCTCATTAAGTGTCATGAGCGGCTTAAACAAGAGCCTAGTCACTTTAGCTCGATTAAGGTGATTTAAGGACTGATAAGTAGAGTTTACCCACATTCAGATAGCTAGACCTCATTATGTGATTGAAATTAGGCTAGCCACACAACAGGCCATCTCATCCCAGCTGAAGTGGACTGAGGTCTCGACCTCGCCTGAACCGGTATTATATGCACTCCCAACTGGGTGTGATTTCCGGCTCGTGACTATAGGTCAGATGATAAGCGTTATTAAGTAATGACTATTTAAAATTAGCGACTTCCTTATCCAAACACTTTCAATTCACTCCAAATTCGTCTGGTTACCATAGGCGAATATAAATTAGAACAAAATCAGCAATGCCGGTGCCTTAGAAACATCCTAGCTCAACAGAGTATTTCCCTTAATTACAAAAA